TTTGCCAAATGAATTGCACAGAATTCACTGGCCACGAGGGGTCTGGATTTCTTGGAAGCTCCGGGATGGTCTAGGCCATACCCCCCCCCCGCCCCTTTAAAATGGACTGGGGCTCCATTTATGCTTCCATGTGGGGCAGATCATGTCTACTCCGACCGGAAAGTGCCGAATACGAAAACTGCGACACCCTTAAGATCAACCAGGAGTTTCACCCCTCTCATTGCCCAATTCTGACCTCGAGCCTCCGAGGCTTGGGAGTGCTGGGCCAGGGCCCTTGTGGCGCTTTTTTCCCGCCATGGGCCAAAACCCGAATCGGTTAGCCGTGAATTCATTTCAATCCAACCACTAAGATAGGTTCTAAAATGGCGAATTCACCTATCCCAAAATGGGATCCCATTGGTTTTGAACCATGGCCACATTGGACGATCAGATTTCACTCGGCTTGATTTCTGGGTGTTTTCCGTGCTTCGGGTCTGTCGGATTTCATTTGCTGCGTCGAAAGTCGCGAAATTCAGTGGGCAGTTAGATGTGGCTCATGGATAAGCTTTGAGGCATGCATCAAATCACTCTCCTGAACATTATCGCTGGTCAAATCCGCTTCTTCACCTGCCGGTTTGCAAAACGGTTTCACACGGTTGACCGTACGGTTTGCCAGGGGCTGCTTGAGTGAATTGGATATGAAATGATGGAAGCGAATGCGATGAAGGAAATGACTGGCATGAAATGAATAGAAGAGACTAGGTACAGTTGTTAAACTTTGAAGAGAAGTCTAGGAATCCAAAGTGAACGTGTCATTCATCTTTTAGGTTTAGGATGGGCCTCCAAAAGCTCCGCGTGGGAATGCCAAAGCCTGAGCGAGAGCGCCTTGGCCCCTTGTGGTCTTGTGGTCATCTCCGTGTTGCATGTTTCCAGGATCTTTTGATGTTGCTGGGCTCAGATAGGTTGAGACTTTGTACCCAGCTTGTTCCAATTTGTTGTCTTTTCGTCACCTGGTTTCAATCAGAATGATTGGCGTGTCCAATGGGACCAGGGGGGTCGAAAGCATTGCCAGCTTGAAGGGAAACCCCGCAACCACGGGGTTGTTGTGCGTGGATCTATTCGAAATGCAGCACTGGAGAGTTGGGTGAGCGGCATGTTCAGTACATTGATCACCGGCCTGTTACTGTTATTATTATTGTTTACGGTAGTAGCCGGAGTGACATTGGGTATCCTCACCAAGTTGCCACCAGGAAATCGGTTACTAGCCAACAGCCCATGTGGGGCCCACCTCAGTTGGAGTCGCTAAAAGTATTGACCGTGGCGCGCATACATATCCAGGGCAGTCCTTGTCTGTCTGTGAGTGCCTGCGTGCCTGACGTCAACTGGCCATGCAGCTTGACTTTGCGGGACATGCATGTCCCAATGACATTTTCCACCGTGCCAATGTTCCTTTCATATGCACCGTGTAGTACAACTCATGCTGCAATTGTTTCAGCGGCATAGATTGCAAGCCGGAGTTTGTAGATCAAACACAAAGCTTTTCAAAAGGCCTTTGCCAGCCTTTGCCAGCCATGCTGTTGGGTACTTGTCAGCATCTCACACCCAGCCAAACGCTGGAGGCGGGCTACAACCAAGCAGTGCCAGTACCAGCGGCTCAGGACTGAAGCAGGGGATCCTGAAATGCCCGCGTGGGAGGGGCGGAGCTTGTGCGTAAAGCTTCCGTGCCACCTTTAAGGAATGTCAAAACACTGTACCTTCTGAGTAGCTGGTACTTTTTGGCATCCATCCCTAGTCATGTGTGTTCAGCACATGCGCATGAGACTGTTGTCTTGACCAAGCCCAGTAGGAAACAGCGCACTCGACCATGTGGGGGCCTTGTTAGTGGAAAAGGGGGGGTGGTCTGTGGTAGGTTGGGAGGGTCTTGGTTACAGTCTGGGTTGGGTCAGCGTTTTCAATTCTCATTTAGTATTGCTTTGTGCAGAATTCTGATGTTTGGTTGGGGGGAAAGACTTGCTATTATTGCGACCCTCGAGACAGTCACACGATTCTGAATTGGGAAAACCTTTCCACAAACGTCTAGGAGTTCAAGCGGGTCCGACAATACATTGAATTACATATGCTTTACGACACAGCCTTACGCTGCTATCACATTACACCACAGTACACTAATGTACTCCATACTACATCTCATGTCACTACATTGTTACATGACTCACATTACACTTGTTTATTGCGCTACATTACATTGCAGTTTGCTTTCACTATATATGTTTATGTTAATGTACACAAACTTATTTACATTTGATACAGCCAGGAGGAGGCGCCATCGGGCCGTGCTTTGCTGAATGCTGCACGGCTTAACAGTCGACGGTGTTTCCCAAAAGGTGAAGGGCTCCCTCAAATCGGACACCACAGGTGTCCTTTTGATGGAGAAAGGGTTGGCTGGAAATCGACGAGTTCCGCGAATTATTTTTTAATGGCGTTCTGCCCCATTTGGGGAAATCCCATGGAATTTCCCAAAAGGGCACCTAGGACAGCAACATCCAGCTGAATCAGTCCGTTTGTTGGACAAGTGTCCTGCCACTTTCCGCGAGCCATGGGAGAGAATCCACGTGATAAAGTCTGATTGAAGCCATAGGTGTCCTTTTTGGTTTGCTTAAGAAACAGAGGCCGATTCCTTTGTGGATGCAGTCGAAAAGGGCCTGCTTTTCACATGGCCACTGGAGGTCCGGCCCACTGCCGATCTTGGAGAAAGGAGTCTGATCCCAAAACGGCTACGGCACCAAGAGCTCAATCAAGCGTTGCTTGAGAAGCGCCAGCATGTTCTCTCAACGTCCATGTAACGCTTTCCTTGGACAGAGGATATTCCAGGCAAACCTACATTCCCGTGGGGTGGCTCTGAACATCACCGTTCGGCCACTTTGAAAGTGAGCTTTCTCTGTGTTTCAGGCGGGCTATGCTTCAAATATTGTGTGGGGAACTTAGAAACGTCTTCCGTTCTCCCTTTTCCAATCCCCCTTGATGCATGAATAGTGTGCTGTTGGTCTTTGGTTGAGATTCCCTTGAACTCCTGGAACAGCTGTTGTTAGTAAAGTCTCAGGGGCTGCACTTCCTGAGGTGGTGTGGTTGATCTTCAACTAAGAATAGCTTCAGGGTTCGACTTCCGAATCAGAGCTCGCTTGCCCACGGAGCTTATCACCAGGGGCAGTGAGTTTCACCTTGGAGCTTGGATTTGACATCCATAGATCATGGCCGTTGTCCAGCATGTCTGCTTTCTTGGCAATTCACGAAATCATTCTTGGCAAAAGCTTTTTGAACAGCCCGGAAGAGTCTTTAAACCATGCGGAAGGAGATACGTTTGGCGTGTGGGGATCCACCCGACTTTGGTCGAAACCCGAGGGGCACTAGGCCAACTTTGTACTTTGAAGCTCCACCTGTAGGACCCCTTGTGAGCGTTTCTCAAAATATGACTCCGGTTGTGGAACTGATTTGAGGAAACCAAGAGGGAACCAGCAATCTGAAGGGATCCTTAAACATTTGAGACACACACATTCACGTGAGCAACGGTTTTTGCTTGTTGCAAAGAAGCAAGAAGCTCTGCTCGGTTTTGGGTCTGGCTTTTTCCTTTTTTCGCCACTGCTTGGTTTTGGGTTTCTCGGCACTGGTTGCTCTGAGGACCCTCGTTTCCAGCGGCTGGTGTCTCACATCTAGCCCCTCCAGTGTGACCTTCAGGGCCCTGCCAACACCATGCAGTGCTGCGCCACCCTCCAGGCGAACGAAAGCGAAAGAAGCCGTGGGTGGGTCCTTTGTGCTTTCTTCGCATAAGAGTATTGCTTTTTTGTTATTTTCCCTGGTTGGTTTTAAAGGGAGTCTATCTCTACTGGACATTTTGTTGTTCCCCGGGGGCTTAGGCAAATGGAAGTATGTTGATACCAGGACCACGGCTCATATTCTGCCGTGAATTGATAGAGGAATTATCTCGGCCGGGCCGCAAAGAGGACATGGATTGAATGGAATATCCAATAAGTCGCGACATGACAGAGTTCCATGCCAATGAGACGTCCTCCCCAAGCGCAGGGTTACCCTTTTCGTTGGCGTTTACAATGCAAAGCAAGAATTTGTTTCCTCGAGAACTACTCTGAAAAAGGCACGAAATGCTTGCTTTTTCCAATCAAACACCGCGCGCGTTCCGTGTTAGAGCAAGGCCTTTAAGGCAGGCCAAAAACTCGCCAGGGCTGGCAGCGCCTACCGCTTGCCGCCAGTTCTACTGGAAAAGTTGCTGCTTCACAGCAGGGTGGAACTGGCTAGATCCGTCAATCTTAATCTTGGCACACACCTTCGGCGACACCCAAATTTTAAGAGACTGCGTGTGCGCGCGAGCGGTTGTGCTTGCCAATTCGCTGGCGTGTGTGCACTTCGCTGGCAAGCGCGCGTGAGCGAATGTGCTTACCAATTGGCTGAAGTGTGTGCAGTTGGCTGGCGTGCGCGCGTGGGCGTGCGCGCGTGAGCGGGTGTGCTTACCAATTGGCTGGCATGTGTGAGTGTGCGTGTGTTCTTGGCTGGAGTGCCCGCTGGCGTGTGTGCTCTTGGCTGGCGTGTGCACAGTGTGCTGAAAAACTGCGTTTTGATCCACGGTGGAATTTGAGCCGTGGGCCAACTACATGCCGTGGGCAGGTTGTTTTGTTTCTTTGGCTTCTTTGGTTTGTTCGGTTGATTCGGCTTGTTTGGTGTGTTGGATTTGTTTGCTTGTTTGTTGTTTGCTAGTTTTTATGCTTGTTTGCTTGCTCGCTTGATTGTTTGCTTGTTTGGCTTGCGTTTGTTGGTCCCCAAGGTCTGAGGTGGGTGTGCGTGCTGGTTGTGCGGCGTGGTGCGGTTCGCAGTGTTGCACAGAGTTGTAAATGCTGGCTGGTTTCCTGGTTTGTGTTTGTTTGGTTGGTAATTAGTGTTTCTTGTGCATGTGCGCGTGTGCGTGCTCGCGTGTATTTTTTTGTGTTTTGGGTGTGTGGGAGTGAGAGAGAGAGAGAGAGTGTGTTGTGCGTGTTGTGCGTGTTGTGTGCGTGTGTGCGTGTGTGTGCGTGTGTGTGTGTGTGTGTGGTTGTGTGTTTGAGTGTCTGAGTGTCTGTACATATACGTGTGCGTGTTGTGTGTTGTGTGTGTGTGTTTCTGTGGTTTGTGGTATTGTGTTTGCGTCTCCGTGTCTGGTTGCGTGTTGTGTTTGCTGTTGTTTGTGTGTTTTGAGTTTTGTGTCGGCGTGTCGGATCTTATCCAGTGTTACTTGCCTTGCTAATGGTGGTTGCTCTGTTAGCCTTTGTGTCGCTGTTCCCGTGCTTGAACTTGCGCTGTTGTCAACAATCAACCCATTAGCGAGAAGGAACTGTGAATATGCATGTTTGAACCCTTAAGGTCGATTGATCCCATCGTCCCTCACCTGCTTTGCCTCAGTTTTGTGACCGGCTCCCTACGATTGTTTCACGTTGGTTCTCATGTTGCACCTCAGTGTTAATTTTGACAGTAAGTCGTACAATGAAGCATGGTGATCCCCTTGGTTCAAGCCTCACCTGTTGCTTGCACATGTTGACAGAGTTTCTCTGTGGTGATGTTTGCAGGGAAGGTGCAAAGGGGTGCGTATTAATTGCCTTAGACAACCAAGTGAGTTGGTATCAGCTTTGCGGCGGCCAGAGCTCATGACACCCAGCGAAAAGTCTCCCTGCAGATGTATGAGTTTTGAAGAGCTGCCATGCCCCTCGCATCATATTTGAAGGAGACATCAACCAGCTTACCCCTCACATCAACCACAGCATATGCCATTCAGATGCACGGTCACGGTGGCTTCCTTGGGTTTCCGCCAGGCGCGGGGCACCAAGTTGCCGAGCGAGGTCGGCGTGGCGGTGTACCAACGGTTGCTGCACCCAGAGACATTCGAGACCCGGAAGCTGGCCATCGTTACGCGTGCCTTGGACAAAGGCGAAGTGTGGTGCTTGAAAAGGCAGAGCTGCATCCGCTTACAGCAAAACCGTCCGGTGTTTGTTGGTTCTGGAGATAAGGGAAGACGCGAAGGCCACAACGTCAGCTAAAAGACATACACCAACCACTTGGTTGGTTCAGGGTCCCCTGGCCACGAAATGCCTGTTTCACATCCATGTGGGGCATCACTTTGGCTGGGTACGTTTTGATGCCGGCTGCTTGGGCACTCGATGCAGACGTCCGGAACCATTCTGGCGGTATTGACATGGGCCCAGACCCTCAGTGCCCTTTTTTGCCTGTGTCAAACAGGTACTTCCCAAAAGGAATTGCATATTGTTTTCTAGAAACGGGGTTGTGTTACCTTTTTGTCCGCATGTGGGGCTGTCCCTTTTCAACACACCGACCTCCAAAAGCGATTTGCTTCCCATGGCCGGAGCTCTTGAATGGCTTTGCCGCTGGCTGGGCAAAATTTGACTGCCTTTGCGGGACTGGTTTGTGGGTTGGTTGTTTTGCGGTGAGGCTTCCTTTCCAATGTGTGGTGGCACGTGTAACTGTGGAATTGTGTGATTACTTGGGCAAGTAATCGGGGAGTTGTGTACTTGCGTGATTGTGTAATGTTGCTTGTGAAACAAACGTGTTGTGTTGCTGTTTCCTTTTGTTGCGTAAGTGAATAACTAGTTAGTCTTTTGTGAGTGTTTGTTTGTGCGTTTGTTTCATTGTTTGCTTGTTTGCTTGATTGATTGACTGATTAGCTGGTTGATTGAGTGATTCACTGATTGACTGATTGACTAATTGATTGACTGATTGATTGATTCATTCATTCATTCACTCACTCGTTCATTCATTCATTCATTCGCTCGCTCACTCATTCATTCAAACATTCATTCATTCATTCATTCATTCATTCATTCATTCATTCATTCATTCATTCATTCATTCATTCATTCATTCATTTGTTCATTCATTCATTCATTCATTCATTCATTCATTCATTTGTTCAATGGTTAATCGTTCAAATTGATTAATTGATTCATGCGATTGATATATTGATTTGATTTGATGTTATTGTATTTGATGTTGATTGTTTCATCGATTGATTCATTGCCATAGTGGTCTATTTGTCTGTGGTATTATCAGTTTGTCTATTTATTGATTTATTGATGTTGCTTGTGATCGATTTGATTGACTGATTGCTTGCTTGCTTGATTGGTTGATAGATTGATTGATTGCTTTATTTTGTGTTTGTTTCTTTTTTTGTTGGTTTGCTTGTTTGTTTGTTGGTTTGCGTCTTTGTTTGCTTGCTTGCTTGTTCGTTTGTTTGTTTGTTTTTTGTTTGTTTTTTTGTTTGGCCGTTCGTTCGTTCCTTCGTTTGTTTGTCTTTGTGTGTGTGCGTGTGTGTTTGTGTGTGTGCATGGCGGCGAGTTGCGCATGGGTGTGTGGCGAGCTTCGGTATAATCCTGGAACCAATTTGAAGTTGCAGTGGGGGGGGCAACCTCCCAGTGCAGCTGGTTGCCCAGCGAAGAGGGCTGCGCTTGGACTGACATGATCCTGGGACGCCGGGATCACGTACCTGCACCAGTGATGTTTCTGAGTTTCTTTTCTTTTTGGTCCCTTCCCTGAACCGGCGTTCTTTGCTTTGCCCCCGTTAAAGTAGATTACGAATCAGAGGGACGCAATCTGGACTTGATCATATTCTCGGGAGTCTAAGTATGTGACCGTGTACGCGTGTGCACGCGTCCGTCCTTGTGTGCGTGCGTGCGTGCGTCCGTCCGTCCGTCTGTGCCGTGCATGTGTGCATGCGTGCATGCGTGCGCGCGTGCGGGTGCGGTGCGTGCGTGTGCCTGTCTCTGTCTGTCTTGTCTGTCTCTCTCTCTGTCTGTCTGTCTGTCTGTCTGTCTGTCTGTCTGTCTGTCTGTCTGTGTGTCTGGCTGGCTGGCTGGCTGGCTGGCTGGCTGGCTGGCTGGCTGGCTGGCTGGCTGGCTGGCTGGCTGGCTGGCTGTCTGTCTGTCTGTCTGTCTGTCTGTCTGTCTGTCTGTCTGTCTGTCTGTCTGTCTGTCTGTCTGTCTGTCTGTCTGTCTGTGTGTATGTGTGTGTTTGCGTGTCTGTGTGTCTGTGTGTGTGTGCTTTGTCGTCTCTGTGTGTGTGTGTGCGCGGCAGTCTACGCGTTTGTTTGTGTTTGTGTCTGCGTGGTTTTGGTCTGGGTTGTGGTTTTGGCCTTAGTTTTCTCCGGATGAAACGGTCAAGGACCATGGGTCGTACAATTGAAACCCGGAGGGCGGTCTTCCAGAGAATGGGATCGTCAAAGTGACTGCAATGCAATTCTGCAGCTGGCGAGGGCACCACGCAGATCCATCTCTCCGGCCGCCAAATCTGCTGGAAAGAGCGCCATGGCAAGCAATTGGACCATGGCTGGTCTTTGGCGGAACCTTGGCCCCTTAAACTTAAATCTTCCGGCGACTTTGAATGTTCCTGTGAACCTGCAAAAAGCTTGATGTTGGCTCACAGTGCAGGTCCACTTTGGGACATGGGACCAAGCTGACGATGCAGGTTTGGCCACGCAGCCTTCGGCTATCTGAATGGGCGGTTGTAGCCTGTGAGGTGGTACCGACGTGGTTTTCAAAAGTTATAGGCGCCTGCCGCCGCTTTTGCAGGAAGTACATGGCAAGGCAGCCTTTCTCAGCAACCGGCCAGATGCCGGAAGCGTCCGAGGTCGCCCCCATTGTCTTGCAAAGGATCGCGGAGCTCTCGAAACAGGACATTGCCAACTTTGCTCAGTCCTTTGCTCACTTAGAGCCTCTCGGCCTGCAAGAACGTTCTTCATCGGTGTTCCTCTCCAACCCAAGGTGTCTGGTGCAACTTGTGGGGTTCAAGGTACGCATCCCTATCCCCGCACCAGTCAACTTCTGGCTTGTGACTCAAGTGGTTTTATCGGGGGTGGGTGGGGGGGCAACAAGCTTTCGGGGTAATGCGCCCGCTAAGCTGCCACCCGTCCCGTTCCGCTAGGTCCGTGTGAGGGCTGTCAACAAACGCGCATAATATATATGAGCCGCGGACAAAACACGCGAAGACCACTTTATCAAGGCGGGGTACGTTTTTGCATAGCACATGCCAAAACCATGGAAAACGATAAGGTCTCCCCCAAAAACGATAACCCTTAGCGAACACACGGCTCTATAATAACCCCTGCAGTTGCAACTTAGCTAGGGTGGGACCCTTGCGTGGCCACCGTAAAACGAGAAGGCGAGTCGCCACTTTCGAGCTGGAGCTGCCAAGGTGTGAACCGTAAATACGACACTTGTACTGAGAAGTTGCGATTTTCGAGCTGGAGCTGCGGAAGTGTACTTCGCGTGCTAGACTTGTGCTACAAAGTTGCGATTTTCGAGCTGGAGATGCGGAAGTGTACTTCGCTTACTAGACTTGTACTACAAAGTTGCGATTTTCGAGCTGGAGATGCGGAAGTGTACTTCGCGCACTAGACTTGTACTACAAAGTGGCGATTTTCGAGCTGGAGCTGCGGAAGTGTACTTCGCGTACTACACTTGTACTACCAGCTTGCGATTTTCGAGCTGGAGCTGCGGAAGTGTACTTCGCGTACTAGACTTGTACTACAAAGTTGCGATTTTCGAGCTGGAGCTGCGGAAGTGTACTTCGCGTACTAGACTTGTACTACAAAGTTGCGATTTTCGAGCTGGAGATGCGGAAGTGTACTTCGCGTACTAGACTTGTACTACAAAGTTGCGATTTTCGAGCTGGAGCTGCGGAAGTGTACTTTGCGTACTAGACTTGTACTACAAAGTTGCGATTTTCGAGCTGGAGCTGCGGAAGTGTACTTCGCGTACTAGACTTGTACTACAAAGTTGCGGTTTTCGAGCTGGAGATGCGGAAGTGTACTTCGCGTACTAGATTGTACTTCGCGTACTAGACTTGTACTACAAAGTTGCGATTTTCGAGCTGGAGCTGCGGAAAGACTTGTACTACAAAGTTGCGATTTTCGAGCTGGAGATGCGGAAGTGTACTCGCGTACTAGACTTGTACTACAAAGTTGCGATTTTGGAGCTGGAACGCTGTGGAAGTGCGCTTTGCGTACTAGACTTGTACTACAAAGTTGCGATTTTCGAGCTGGAGCTGCTGCGCGAAGTGCGCTTCGTACTAGACTTGTACTACAAAGTTTCGATTTTCGAGCTGGAGCTGCGGAAGTGTACTTCGCGTACTAGACTGTTACTACAAACTTGCGATTTTCGAGCTGGAACGCTGTGGAAGTGTACTTCCCGTACTAGACTTGTACTACAAAGTTGCGATTTTCGAGCTGGAGATGCGGAAGTGTACTTGTACTAGACTGGTACGTTACTTTTACTGCGGAAGTGTACTTCGTGTACTAGACTTGTACTACAAAGTTGCGATTTTCGAGCTGGAGCTGCGGAAGTGTACTTCGCGTACTAGACTTGTACTACAAAGTTGCGATTTTCGAGCTGGAGCTGCGGAAGTGTACTTCGCGTACTAGACTTGTACTACAAAGTTGCGATTTTCGAGCTGGAGATGCGGAAGTGTACTTCGCGCACTAGACTTGTACTACAAAGTTGCGACTTTCGAGCTGGAGATTCGGAAGTGTACTTCGCTTACTAGACTTGTACTACAAAGTTGCCATTTTCGAGCTGCAGCTGCGGAAGTGTACTTCGCGTACTAGACTTGTACTACAAAGTTGCGATTTTCGAGCTGGAGATGCGGAAGTGTACTTGTCGTACTAGACTTGTACTACAAAGTTGCGATTTTCGAGCTGGAGATGCGGAAGTGTACTTCGCGTACTAGAGTTGTACTACAAAGTTGCGTTGTTAGAGCCGGATCTGCGAAAGCTCGAAAACACTGTAAAACGATAAGGTCTCCCCCAAAAACGATAACGTTCAAAAAAGTACTAGGGCCAAGTAAAGTGTTTCGTCCGCTCCTCATATATATATATATATCTATCTATGTATGTTACGCAAAAGGTTCAGTACGGAAAGAAGGTGCCAAATTATGGCTGCAAGCCAAAGTGCGACAGTACCTCGTTTGCCGGGCCAGCAATGCATGAAAACATTGTTGCGTCTGGGCATGTCTGGGCGATTGCTGGCCGTAAGCCCAATTTGTTGTGTGTGTTTGGGGTCTGAACTTGGTTGCAGCGGGCATTTGTCTACATGTGGTCGCCTGATATGGCGGATGCTTTGCTCCATTCGGGCACCATTAGCACGTGCCCTGCCAAAGTCCGGCCCTGAATCGCCTTTTACAAGCTGCCCATCTAATCCAAACTACCCCAAGGAGAAATATGGGTCTAGCCTTGCATAATAGCTATATAGTTGTTGTGTATCCCATTCAACTCCCCCAGAGAACTTGTGGTTTGGGGCAGTGGCCCTCTAACCAGCCTTGAAACAGGACATAGTGATCTTCAGAGCTGCCCTGTGCAGCTGGGTCTTGTTCTGCTTGTCAATAAATTCTTCGTCATGGAGTGGGCTGGATGTGTCTGGCTGTCCGCCTTTCTGGACAAATTGGCGGGTTCGCCCTTGGGCCAGCACACTCAACAAGCCTCAATATGTCAATAGTTCCAAGTTGGTTGTGAGGTTCGGTTAAAATATCCTGCAACCATAGAATTCCATGTAGAAAGGACATTGGGGGACACACGGAATTGCACACAACATCCAGGGTTATGACCAGACGGGCTCAGGCAGGAGAGGCTTCAGCTGGACAAGAAGAAGCTAAGTCAACTCAGAAGCAACTTAGCCAAACAACTCAGCTGAAAACACAGATTCAACAAAACACAGAAAACACCGAGAAACCACAGGGTACGACTCAAACAAAAACACAGAACAAACTCAGCCTTCAACTCAGAAAAACGCAGCCTTGGTTTTTGACCCCCCCGCCCCCCACTTGAGTTTGAGGCTGACTCGGGAGCGGAGTTTTTGGCTGAGTTACTTCAGAGTTTGTTTGAGGTGTTTGTGAGTTTTGTTTGAGTTTTGTCTGAGTTTTGTCTGAGTTTTGTCTGAGTTTTGTCTGAGTTGTTGTTGAGTTGTTTTGGAGTTGCTGTTTGAGGTTGTTTGTGTTTTCTTGGGGGAGAAGTGCAGATTTCCTCCCCAACCAGCCCCTAAAAAGCACTCTAGAGCACTCAAACAAATTCAGAAAACATCAAACAAAAATAAGAAATTCCTCAGCTCCCGACCCAGCGATCGAAAACCAAGGCTGAGTGTGTTTTCTGAGCTTTTCCTGAGTCTTCCCAGGTTGGGAGTTTTCCAGATTGAGTTTTTCGAAATGTTGTTTTTTGGTTGGTCGTTTTTGTTTTTCAAATTCCCTGGACTTGCGGCCTCGGCGAGATCAGGTCATAAATCCAGGCGACATTCATTTTCCCATGTCCTTCACCGTATGCGTGTGTGTTGACCTTGGTTCATGGGCGTGGCGGATCGTGCCTTTACAACCCTGGTTGTCATGTGTTGTCATCTACTTGCCTGTGCCATGACCAATGCACCTTGTTTGACAATGTCAAGTGCTTTTTGGATGGCCACAATGACTCCTCGGATCATGTGAAGAACTCACCATGCTTACTTTTCCGTAGTAACTGTCATTGTCCACATAATGACGTCATTAACCTTCTTAAGTTTGTTAGACTTAGCTCACCCTTTTATTTAATTTTTGGTTTCCACGTTCTGTCAACCAGAAGGATTTTACCTTGTGCGGGGGTCGGATAAATCCAGGCGACATTCATTTTCCCATGTCCTTCACCGTATGCGTGTGTGTTGACCTTGGTTCATGGGCGTGGCGGATCGTGCCTTTACAACCCTGGTTGTCATGTGTTGTCATCTACTTGCCTGTGCCATGACCAATGCACCTTGTTTGACAATGTCAAGTGCTTTTTGGATGGCCACAATGACTCCTCGGATCATGTGAAGAACTCACCATGCTTACTTTTCCGTAGTAACTGTCATTGTCCACATAATGACGTCATTAACCTTCTTAAGTTTGTTAGACTTAGCTCACCCTTTTATTTAATTTTTGGTTTCCACGTTCTGTCAACCAGAAGGATTTTACCTTGTGCGGGGGTCGGATCAGGGCCCAGATGCATTGAAGCGAGTGGTTCAGGTGAATTGGAGCTATGGATCCTGTGGGGACTGTTACAAAGAAAGAAAGCCACATTGTGAGTGGCTATGTGTCTTCAATAAAGGTTGGACATAAGCCACCATGCAACGTAATTCTGATCTTAACCAAAGAGTCCTTGCTGAAATTTACACGCTGACGCGACACAGCCGGCCACCGGGCACCTTGCCTTGCCCGTTCTGTCACTTCCCTTTCCGGTAAGTCCGATGAGTAGATGTTAAGATTTAAAAATTCTAAACACTTTGAGATTCTAAGGGTCTCAGATTTGAAGACTTTTGGAATTTAAGGCTTCAATGGTTTAAGAATTAAGGTTTTAAGATTCAAAGACTTAAGGTGTTTGAAAGTTATAACAGCCAGGCCATTGCCCAGCCATTTTCCATCCATTATCAGATTTCGAAGGCTTTAAGATTTTATTTTTGGTGAGATTTTCAGATTTGGCGGCGACTTTCGGATGTAAGATTTTAAGATCTTAAGATGTCAAGACTTCAAAATTTCAAGATTAAGAGTTTAAGGAATTTAGAATATAGCCCGGATTGAAGGAATTTTATTATATTTTACTTGTTTATGAATTTAAGATTTTCAGATTGCAATAGTTCGAGATTTAAAGAATTTAAGTTTTTGAAGCTTTTAAGATCCTGAGATTTTAAGAGTTTGAGAATTTCGGAATTTCATATTTTAA